TTCGGTGAGTCCAGGGCCAGCGAGCCTCAGCACGGCGATGAGAGAGGCCAGGCAGGGAGCAGCAGCTGCTTCACACCAGGCTGCTTCGTGGGGGGCGGGGGGATTACAACAGGGTCCTCTCCTCCTGGGCGCAAGCAGGGGCGTCTCCCTGATGAGGAGCGGGTGTGAACAGTTGCTGAATCCCGAAGATCATGCCAGGGTGTGGGTGCCTCTTGAGTAGCTGGCCATGGCAGGGACATGGGGCATGGCCCTGGGCTGATGAGAGTGGGTCCAGAGCTCCGCACGCCATCTTCGGGGAAGGTTGTGTCACCCTCTGGCTCTTTACTCAGGGCCAAAGGGCGCAGCGATCCATCCACCCCTGGCTCCTCAAAGGGGAGTCAAGGGCGCAAGAGCATTCGCTTGGAGCACAGGGCAGAGAAACCGAACTGAGTCTGGTTCGCGTTGCGCCCTGCTCTAGGTAGGGTCCGCTTTAGCCTCTGCTTAAGGGAGAGCCGACCCAGGCATCCTCTGCGCACCGGGCTGCTATGAAAGAGGAACTCCCTCCTGCCCGGAGCAATACCCCAAACGGGGAGGAGACGATGCCAAAGAGTCAAGAACCGCCATCCTGCCCGCAGTGAGGGGCTTCTAGTGTTAAGGACCCCACTATTGTATCCACCCATCTCCCGTGCGCTCAGCGGCGTGTGGGACAAGTTCTACCTGCACTGGGATGGAGAGGGGCGTGTTCCCTTAAGACTCAGCTGCTGAGGAACCATGGAGGCTGAACAAAGTTTCTCCTGTCTCTGGGCCCGATCCTTCCAAATCTTCAGCAGGCCCGGCAATCCCATTGCCTTCGAGAGGAAGAAGCGGCGGGGACGGGCCAGGAGCTGTGATGGGATCCTGCTGCCAGAAGCAGGATCTGTCACACTCCCCGGCCCTTGTTGGAGTCACTCCGATGCGCAGCAAAGGCGCGGGCACCTGCCACATGGTCGGGATCTGCCCTAGCGAGCCCTGACAGTGGCTGTCCCAACCTTTCGGCGCCAGCACCCTGCGCTGCCCCGGAGGGTGGTGGACTCTCCGATGGCTATTTATATGAGGGCATGGCGGGGCGG